ACTGACAGCCCGCAGGCTGAGAACGTGCTTCAGAGGAACCGAGGTCTCTGCCTGTGTTTTTCATTTTTGCAGCTTCCCCATCCCTCTTTCAAGGACCCCCAATTCAACTGGAGCTGATCTCTGGCACCTAGAGAAACAGCAGCAAAGCAGCAATTTAAACAACCACACAGCTCAACTACTGGTCCCCACAGGAAGTTCCCCCGTGTTAGAAGCAAAGGACAAAATATTAGTTCCGGCCCAGGCACACCACTAGCACCTTGGGGCCTCCCTGGGAACCAGAGGCTTGGATCTGGTGACTGGACCCCACTCCCACTTCCAGGCAAACTGCACCAGTGCCTTGGGGCTCACCCAGGGATCTGGGGTATAGAGTTGGGGACCAGACCCCTCTCCCACAACCAGGCACATGGTGCCAGCACCTTGGGGCCTGCCCAGTGACCAGAGGCATGGAGAAGGGGACCAAATACACCCACAACCAGGCATACTGCAAGTGCCAAGGGTCATGCTAAAAACAGCACCTCCATGTGGGTGGCCCACCACAGCCACCACAATAACCATGGCTGCTGCAAAAGCGGCTAGACACCACAACCACCACGCAGATGTTCTGCCAACCAATGGAGTGCATTCACACAAGAAGAGTCACCAGCAGAGACAAAGAAAAGAAGATGTCTCTGTCCACAAAACGCATTTCAGAGTGACAGAAGAAGCATTTGCTCTATGATAATATTGGGGGACCTGATCACATCTCTCAGCATTGGACAGATCATCTAGGCAACAAGTTAACAGAGTAACCATTATTCTTTCAGAAGGAGAGAAGAAATCTAGGGCAATTAGAGGGGGGAGGGGGAGGGAATGGGGGAAGGGAAGAAGTTGGACAAGGGGCATAAAGAAGAATTACGATTTGTAATAATATATATGCTAGTAATATTGATTTAATCAACGTATCTCAATGTTCAACCCCCAAAATATGTATAATCGATTTCAATTCAATAAATAAAATTTAAAAAATTTTTTTTTCTTGAAAATAATGACACATCATACCAAAACCTGTGGGATACTGCAAAAGCAGTTTTAAGGGGGAAATTTATGGCATCAAGTGCTTACTTCAGAAGAATGGAAAGATGGCAAATAAATAACCTAACACTTCACCTTAAGGATCTAGAAAAACAAGAGCAATCCAAACCTAAAGTTAGTAGATGGAAAGAAATAATTAAGATCAGAGCAGAACTAAGTGAAATAGAAACACAAAAAACAATACAAAAGATCAATGAAACAAAAGTTGGTGCTTTGAAAAGATTAATCAAATCAACAAACCTTTAGCAAGACTAAGAAGAGAGAAGACCCAAGTAACGAAAATTAGAAAAAAAAGGTGATATTACAACCAAAACTTCAGAAATACAAGGAATCATTAGAGACTACTATAAACATCTATAAGCCAACAAATTTGAAAATCTGGAGGAAATGGATAAATTTCTGGATGCATACAAGCTACCAAAACTGAGGCAAGAAGATATAGAAAATCTGAACAGACCATTAACAATAAAAGAGATTGAAGCTGTTATCAGAAGGCTCCCAACAAAGAAAAGCCTAGGACTGGACAGGTTCACTGCAGAGTTGTACCAAATCTTCAGAGAGGAACTGATACTAATTCTCTACAAACTGTTCCAAAAGATTGAAACAGAGGCCATTCTCCCAAACTAATTCTATGAGGTAAATATCACCCTGATACCAAACCAAAGATGCATCAAAAATAGAAAACCACTGTAGAGAGAAATTAAAGAAGACACAAGAAAATGGAAAGATATCCCATGCTCTTGGATTGGAAGAATGAACATTGTGAAAATGTCCATATTACCCAACGTGATCTACAAATTCAATGCAATCCCCATCAAAATTCCAATGACATTTTTCTCTGAGATTGGAAAAGCTTTCCAGACATTTATATGGAACAACAAAAGACCACACATAGCCAAAGCAATCCTGAACAGAAAAAAATAGAGCTTGTGGCATAACACTACCTGACTTTAAACTATATTACAAAGCTATAATAACCAAAACAGCATGGTACTGGCATAAAAAGACACACTGATCAATGGAACACAATTGAAAACCCAGAAATTAACCCATATGCCTACAGCCATCTGATCTTTGACAAAGGCAGCAAGTCTACACTCTGAGGAAGAGACTGCCTTTTCAACAAATGGTGCTGGGAAAACTGGATAATCATATGTAGGAGAATGAAACTAGACCCGTATCTTTCACAATATACCAAAATCAACTCAAAATGGATTAAAGAATTAAATATACACCCTGAAACAATAAAACTCCTTAAATAAAACATAAGGGAAACACTGCAGGAAATAGGAGTGGGTTCAGAATTCACGAATAGGACTCCCAAAGCACAGGCAACTAAAGGTAAAATAAACAAATGGGATTGTATCAAACTAAAAAGCTTCTGCACAGCAAAAGAAACAATCAACAGAGTAAAAAAACAACCAACAGAGTGGGAGAAAATATTTGCTAAATATACATCTGACAGAGGATTATTATCCAGAATACATGAGGAATTCAAACAACTTTACAACAAAAGAACAAATAACCCAATTAAAAAATGAGCAAAGAAGCTGAACAGACATTTCTCAAGGGAAGTTATACGAATGGCCAACAGACACATGAAAAAGTGCTCAATATCACTCAACATCCGGGAAATGCAAATCAAAACCACACTGAGATACCATCTCACTCCAGTCAGGATGGCTAAAATCCAAAAGACTGAGAATGATAAGTGCTGGAGAGATTGTGGAGAAAAAGGAACTCTTATCCACTGTTGGTGGGGCTGCAAAATGGTGCAGCCTTTATGGAAAATGATATGGAGCTTCCTCAAACAATTGCAGATAGATCTACCATATGACCCAGCGATTCTACTGCTGGGAATATACCCAGAGGAATGGAAATCATCATGCCAAAGGGATACCCATACTCCAATGTTTATCGTAGCACTCTTTACAATAGCCAAGAGCTGTAACCAGCCCAAATGTCCATCATCAGATGAGTGGATAAGGAAACTGTGGTACATCTGCACAATGGAATACTACTCTGCTATAAAAAGAATGAAATACTACCATTCGCAACTACATGGATGGACTTAGAGAAAATTATGTTAAGTGAAACAAGTCAGGCACAAGAAGAGAAATACTACATGTTCTCACTTATTTGTCAGAACTAAAAATTAATAAATAAATAAACATACAAACAGATTAAGGGTGGGGGGAAGAAGAAAGAATAACCACAAAAATTCCTTGAACTATATAAGCCAAGTTCACAGATACGATGTGGGGGGGGTGGATGGGGCAGGGGGAGAGGAATGGGTAAAGGGGCATGAAAATCAAGCACAATGTATTTTGAGAAGTAAAATTAAATTAAATTAAATTAAATTAAACAAACAAACAACAAAAAATAAATAAATAAAAAATAAAGATGTTCTCTGTGAGAGTCCTTTTCAGGTAGGGAGTCCTGGGCAGGGTCCCCAGGAACCTCCTTGGCCTTGGGCACACCTGACATCCCCCAGTCCTTGTGCAGACGCCTTTTCCTTCTGTCCCTGACGCCTCCTCGAGGGCATAGCAGGGGGTGAGTGGCTGAGCCCTGGATGTAGGAGTGACACTGGGCTAGGGGGACCAGGCCCTGGAGCATGTGACCAGTTTCTAATGTGGGCTTGAAATCACCAAGCATGAGCCCGTGTGTCCACCTTATTCCAGGGCAGAGCATCAGCAGCTGCCGGGACCAGAGGTGACAGGGACTATGGGACACCACATGTGCCACTGAGACCCTCTACCTGAGACTGTGTCTGGACTGGGAAGGCCCTGCCTGGATATGTGGTTGGGCTAGGAAGGTCACCTGGTTACACAGGACACCCTCATGCTCATCCAGTGGGACCAAGGAGCCACCATCACGGAAGTCCACCTCATAGTGCAGGTAGATCTGGTGCCGCCCAGGGACCGAAGCGTTATTTTTAAAGTTGTCGATGAACGTGCCCGGATTCATGAGGTCTCTATGGACAACAACGGGAGAAATCCAAAGACAGAGATTCTTCCTGGGACCTCCCCACACGCCCTGCCCCTCCACACACACTCTTCCCCTGCTCCCCACACTCCCTCTCTGTACCCCACATCACCATTCTGCACTGCACTCTCCCTTCCCCTGTGCACCACACTCCTTCCCCTGCTCTCCACATCCTGAGACATCTGTCACAGGAGGGGCTTCTGCTCACTTGCTGGAGCCTCTGGAGGCTCACTGGGGAGTCCTTGTCAGGGTTTCCCCAGGATCAGTGCAGTGTGCTCAGACCCTCTGATGAGGCCCCACTCCTGTCCCAGTGTAGGCTGGGTCACCTCCCCTGGTGTCACCACCAAGCCTTGCACTGGCTCTGCCTGACCCACAGCCCCTGCTTGAAGTGGACCCCCAGGGGCTTTTCCTCCTGCATGCAGGGTTAATTTGGGTCACACCCAGCATCAGGCCTCCTGAATGTGTCTGAGATAGGAGGTGCTCAGTTTCCCTGGGTTCAGGTTTCAGGACACATTTCTGGATCTCAAGCCACTCCCCAAGGTCTCAAGCCCCTCCTCTAGGCCCTCCCCTAGAGGAGAGTTACTGTTGCTTGTTGGACCTATTTTGGTACCTTCACAATGAGATTGAGACCGCAAGGGGAGGACTTATGCAAATTCAGTAGCTGAGCATGCTCAGTAAAAGGATTCACACAGGCTTATGTGACCCCCGCAACCAAGCATGCTCAGTGTGTGTGTGGGGGGGTTATCTTTTGAATGACCTTCCACTGGAGGCACTGAAGAGTACCCACCCAGTCCTCTTACCAGATTCTTGACTCTGCCACAGGAAAGAATTCAAGAGCAGAGTCACAGTAGAAAGTGAGAACAAATTTAATGTAACAAATAAGAGATACAGACTTCACAGAGAAAGTGCAGCCTAGCTCCAGAGACTGATCAAGGACCCCACCAAGTTTAATATAAAAGTGAGAAATACATATTACAGCAAAGTGCAGGCTGGCTCCAGTGTGAACAGCGGCCTGCTAAAGGCAAGTGTGATACAAAGAAAGAAACACACACTCCACAGGCAGAGTACAGGCTGGCCCCTGAGAGAGCGAGCCACAGCCCTGCCTTCTGCTCAGACTCAGCTTTTATAATTTCTCTGTCTAATACACATTCATGCTATCTAACGAATATCCAATTAAGGGGTGTTTCCCAGTTATGTAACAGTCTTGCACATGCTCGGTTGATCTCCTTTTAAGGCATGTTCATTGGTCAAATTCTATCACATGCACTGAACATATTCAAGAATGTTCTGTGCTCTTTAGTGCCTTCAGTGGAAGGTCGTTCAAAGGACAAACTCCCTTCCCCTGAACATGATCCATCACTGGGGTCACATAAGCCTGTTTGAGTTCCTTTGACTGAGCATGCTCAGCTACTGGGTTTGCATAAGTCAGCCCCTTGTGGTCTCAATCTCCCCAAGATGGTACTGTTGGTACTGAAAATAAGTCCAACAGGCAACAGTAACTCTCCTCTAGGGGAGGGCCTAGGGGAGGGGCTTGAGACCTTGGGGAGTGGCTTGAAGCCCAGAGGTGTGTCCTGAAACCTGAACCCAGGGAAACTGAACACCTCCTATCTCACGGCTATCAGGCCTCCCTAGACCGTGTCCTCTGGTATCACATCCATTGGGAAAAGAGAATACCAGGGGCTTTAGTTTTTAGATAATTCATGGATTTTTTTTCTTTCTTTTTTTTTTTTTTTAATTTTTATTTTGTCAATATACAATGTATATGATTATT